TTTTTTTTTTTTTTTTTTTTTTTTTTGTTCCTGCTGTTGTTTGACAGTCTATGATCAAGGGTTTGGAAAAACCTGGGGAGCAATCAGATGATTACGCTGATGCTATGGCTGCTCAGGTATTGGGATAATATAGTCTAGCCTAATACTAATTTGATGTCTCTCCTATTTGGATATTTGGTTATGGTTTTTGTTGTTTTGTAATTTCCTACAGGTGCGTCGATTGGCAATGGAAGTGAGGCAATTGGCCTCATCACGGCAGATAACTGTTTTGAATGGGGGGGATTCTGGAGGTATCTCCTACAATACTTATAAGATGGTTCTGTAAAATGAACTCTCTCCTTCTTTATATGGCAGTTAAGATAATGCTTTGTGATTTCTAGTGGATTGTTCTTATCAATGGTGTCAATCTATTAGCAAATTTGGTTATGCCTACACTTTTAGCTCTTGTTTAATAGTTCTGAGAAAGATAAAGCAGTTCCTATTGGTTGTACCTTTTGTTTTTTTTTTTTTAACTTCTTTTGGGTTTGAGCAGGTAAGTTAACCTCTTACATAGCTCCAGCTGCTGCCGTAGGGGTATTGGGTTATGGTTACATGTGGTGGAAGGTATGTTAATTAAATATTGTAGTTTTCATGTTTTATTTTGTTGATATATGGTTACTTTCTGATAGTGAGTTTCACGTCTCAGATTTCCCCTTTTTTAGGACTTGTTATCTTTTCTATTAAATAAAGTCTCCTTCCTCCCATGTTAACTTGTATTTTGGATTCTTAAATTCCTATTTTGAAATTTCTAAGTAATTCTTTATAATCCATTTTAGTTCCATGAAAAGATTGATACTACTTACATCCACTACTGCTTATTGATGGCTATCCACTGTTTCGTTTCATGTCAAGGAAATCTAAGGAATTCTATTGAGCAGTGAGTGAAAACATGGTTGGTAAACAAGGCTAAACACATTCAACTCAAAATAGATAATCATTCTTGAATCCATTAGAAAGAAAGGGAAAATCCTTCTCTAAAGAAATAATTCTTATTCAAAATAATATATTGAAACCCCCTCTGGCTGTAGGCCTTACATTATTTATATTGAAGACATAAACCTAATTACAATTGAACTCCTAAAACCCTAGTAGAAATGATATATAGGATAGTTATCTAATAATTTCTTATTCCATGAGTTTCTCAGCTTGTTTCTTGGTACTGGAGTGACATGTTGGTCTAGGCTGGACAACAGTAGAGGGCATTAGTGTGTAGGTGGTAATGTTTTGCCATGGTGGGGGATATCATGCTAGAAGGGAGGGTTGGTGAAGATTGGGGGGCAACTTGGGGATCCAGTTTTGGCACAACAGGGGTGCTTCTGTTTCTACTTGTTCTGTTGGGGATGATAGCTTGTGGTGGCGCATGGTATGGCTTGCTGGGACCTGGTGCAATATGAGGGGCTTCAATGGGGTTAGGGAGTGGTGGGAACTTCTGCCTTCCCATTGCAATCCCTCACTTCTGGATTGTAGTAGCCTATCCTCCGGAAATGTGCTGTTCTATTTGCTTAGTTCTATAATTTTAAGATGGCTTAGGGGTCCTTTGGCTCTGATTAGTTGTGGGCTAACGGTGGAGGGGCACCATTAATTCTGGTACATTAGGTATGTTAAATAAACTGCTGTTTGCAAGTATTGAGCATTGGTTAGAGCCAGGGTTTCAGCTATGGCTTTTATTGGCCTGGGTGCTTTTGACACTGGAATAAAGCTTAGTTGATCTTTGTTTCCCCTACATTGTGGGAGGTGGGAGTAACTATCAGTACCACAATATAGGTTTGTACTTTTGGCTTCATCATGGATTGAGAGGAAGATGGTAGCCTGTGTTATTAGGATGTCCTTTCTCTTTTTGCTTGGGTTTTTATTTTGTTTGCTTTGTATGGTTCTTTTGAACCACAATGTTACATTGAATGATAATCATTCTCTTTTTCCAATAAAAGAAATAATTCATAGATCCAATAGAAAAGTAATTAAGAATAAATCCTAAACTTAAGAGACTTGCATGGCAATCTAGCTAAAGTCGCTAGAATGTAGGAATCTTTAGTTTAATGATAAAAGAAAATGAAAATGCTATATGCACAGTGTTTCTTTGTTCTATACAATGTGGCATATTGTGATTAACTCTTTATATTCAGGGTCACACATGAATTAGCATGCATATACCCATTTAGAGCACATCATATTGTAAAAACTATTGTACTTAAAAGCAAACATTGTACATATAGCAGTTCTGAAAGGAGAATAACCTAAAATAAAATTGCAATAGAAATAGAATTAACATAGGAAAGTAAAAGTCCTAAAGAAAATAAAAAGTTGAAGTCACTACTTTGAGATATGAATTGTGGCCTGCATTAAGTGATATTAATTTCTCATTTCCCCACTCTTTGTTGGTCTTTTGGAACTAAATTGTCATATTTTTTTAAAATGAGTAGGGTATTTCATACAAGGATCTTTTGTGGGTAACAAAGCGCAATATGGCTGCTGCTGTTGAGAACTTGACCAAGCATCTGGAATCTGTGTCAGACGCTTTATCTGTAAGTTTGTGATTTGCCTGCTTCTTTTTCTTTATTTAGGCTTCCATGAGGTATACTTTCCATGTAATGGATATCATTTGAAAAAAGACAATATAAAATTTATTTATCATATAATTGTCTCTCTTTGGTAAAATAATTTGCAGGTTAGGTTCTGTTAATTGAGTTTTTATCTTTTGACTGATTCTATAGTTAGTTCTTAGTTCTTACTACAAACCAGTGAACTCAGAAGGTAGTTTTACTACAATAAACAAATACTAATTTCTATCTGCTTCTGCAAGCTCATTCATTTTCACTGTGGGACTAGTGGGTTCATTTTTTTTAAATTATTAATTTGAAAGTATCAAATCAATTGATCTGGGACTTTTTTTTCTCTTAAAAGGTTTTATTTTATTTTATTTTTTTATTTTATTTTTTATTTAAAGTTTACCTAAGTAGTCAATATGCCTTTGTAAAGGCAATGTTTCCTAGGTTTTTTAGAATCACCTTGTTAATTCTCAACCCTTGATTGTGCTTAAAAATCTTCTTTTGACAGGCTGCAAAGAAGCATTTGACTCAACGAATTCAAAACCTAGATGATAAAATGGAAACACAAAAGGAGATCTCAAGAAATATTCAAGCAAGGGTAAGTAGAAAATGTTTTCCTTCTCACTTTCACTTAAAAAGCTGCTTGCATCTATTAGCTAATTACATGTGAATTCTAGCCTGTAAGTTATGTAGCTCATAGCCTCACTGTGCTTTATTGAAGGCCCCAGTTTCTCACCTTGTCTTCTAAATATTTAGTTATTGAGATTTGAGAGTAGATCATCCCAGTATGGGTATTTATCTGTTATCACTTAACTGGTTGATAGCTAGGCTCAAACATTTATTTTTCCTTTTGGATATGATGTCTTGTAAAAGATAATCAAATAAATATGTGGAATTTTTGTTGCTAACTTTAATGGGTTTGAAATTCTGAAACAGGTGGAGGCAACCAACAATACTCTTTGTGATGCTAAATATCATTTGGATGAGCTGCATGATTTGCTTTTTGGTTTGGTGAGTTTTATCATACTTTATTCTACTGTTAACCAGTGCTTTGCTTCTTGTGTGTGTCAGATTCATTACTGAAAATTATGAGGTTTTTCTTTAGAAAAAGAACTAGCTAAAATGAAGAAAAACAGCTTGTTATGTTTTTTAACATGAGTCCTTATGCATGTTTTCACGAGCAAGTTAAAATCTAACATTATTTAACCTTTGGAAGTTGTTAAACCTCCCTATTTATACATGTATATTCTTTTTCTTCCCTATAATTGTTAATAACTTTCACATTGTTGCAGGATGGGAGAATGGACATAATGGAAAAGAAGCAGGTAAAGCAACTGATGCATTTGTTTAAGAGCATGTGAAATCATGTTTATTCTTCTTGAGTGGTGGAATGGTGAATAATTTATTTGTGTGCATTACCTTTGTAACAGGGAAAAGGTTGTTCTAAGTATTGTGATGATGTATGCTTGTGAAAAAGAAAATGCATTATATACTGACATATTTTTTAGGTTTTTACCAACATGGTTTTCTTGTGACAGGATTTTGCAAATAGAGGGGTCAATTTCCTGGTCCAAATGTTTGGTGGGAAGAGCATTCAAATGCCTGATGATCTGCAGGTTGGATCTAGTTGGCTTGTAAATTTATTTTTGCTTTTGACTTTTCAGTTCATGGTGAATTTTATTTAGGACTCCATTTTTATCATCTGCTGAATGTTTGAAATCCATGCCTATCATAATATCTATCAACTGTAGAAATTTGGATAATATAGTTTACATGAGCTGTTCTGCCTATTAACCTTTTAAGATTATTGCATTTTTTATACATACGGACCATACGGTAGATGACTCATCTCATTCGATCAGTGGATATATATGTTGGCACATCTAACTATATAATTTATACATATCTGGCAGGAACAGCTTAGACTTGTTGGTAACTCCCGTAATTTACTCAAACATTCTGGGACTCCATCTGTGAAGGTACCTTTTTACATTAGTATGGTTAATTTTCATCCTGTTTGTCTCTAGTGGCAGGGCTTGAAATAGTATCTTTGGGTGCTGAAACATTACTTATATTAGCCATTATTAGACATTCCAATTTGTTTATTTATTTGAGCTTGACATACCATTTGTTGATATTAGTGATTATTAGATCGTGTTTCAACTTTAATATCAGGGTTTTTTCTTTTGGTTGGGGGGAAAAAAAAAGAGGGCATAAGTGTAATTGATTATCATGGACTCTGGATTTGGTAGGCCTGAAATCTGATAGTTATGCCAACCAGGTAATTTGAACAAAAAAATGTACGTGAGAAAGACCTATATGAAAGTCAGATGAAAAATGTGAAGCATTGCAACCTAAACATAAAATAGATTGTTAAAAGAACTGAGTGTTCCTGCATAGAATCAAATGTCAGCCAAGTTAACACTCACAGGTGGCTAGCTGGAGTGTTCATGCTCAAAACAATTTCCATTAATTATTTTTTTAACTACTATTGATTCATTGAATTGAGAGTTGAATAATTGTTTGGTATACTAATCCGTGATACAGCTTTGAAGTCATATTAATGTAGACTACTAGCTATCCAGTATACTAGGTAAATGGAAGGAAATTATTAGCTTGCTTATCACTATTTATGAATCTTGCACTTGTTTCTTACAGGGTCTGAAAGATATTGTTGATACTTTAAGTGAAAGTATCACTGATTCTGGGGCAGATGCTGTTGCGCACGACGGAATTGACAGTTTGGACAAGAGGCAAAACTCCCTGCGAAGGTTTGAACTTCTTGCTTATTTTTCGCATCCAAAATCCTAAGTCTTTTTTTTTTTAAGTGGTCTACCAAAAATCTTAGCTAGCTTGCCATAACCAAAGTGAGATTGATAATAATACTTTTTAAAGCTAAATGAGGTATTGGTCTGTCTAATGGTTAAGGTGGCATGCTAAGTCCTTAGGAAATTAATGTTCAAGCTCTCCATCCGTAAACGCTAAAACAAAAACACATAACTTCGAGTAAATCTTGCGCTGTGTAATTTTCATAACAAGTTTCTGTTTGGCGTTCTTCACATTAGCATATGGAATTGCAGATATAAGTCAATAGTGTGCTATCTATTTTGTTTACACAATTTAATTTTTGCAGGGCAATTTCAGCGAGATGATTAAAGAAAGCTGTTACTTTGAGTATGCCTTTGACATGATTTACGTGTAATAAAGCAAGCATATAAGGTTTGAAGTAAATTGACCATGGGATGTTGGTTAAACATCACAATTTTTTTTTCATTTCATCAGTTCACTTTAAGTTTGATCTTGTTTCCTCGTAATTTTCTAGATTAGACTCGTAATTGATAGTTGATACCCGCTAGTTTCTTGTATGAAGTTGATATACAAAGACAAAATGACATGCTGGTTTGAATAAGATGCAGCAAAACTGTGTAATTGATAAAATTTTAGTTTTTTATTTGTAAATCATATTTAAATAATGCAATAACAAATTTCTTTGGATACAGGCTTTAACTCGATTTCACCCTTTGTTGATTTTCATTTTATATTATAGCTAATGTAAAAATACAGAGCAATGTAAAAATACAGAGCAATGTAAAAACACAAGAAGGTTACTCTAGAGAGCTTTCTTGCGCTTCTACTCATACCATCCATTTCTAGTGCAGGAGATCAGAAGGCATGGCAATGTGTCTCCCTTTGCTACAATGCTCTGCCAAGGTTTCTAGTGTGGCTCTTAATCCACAGGTAGATGAAAGACGTGTCTGCATAGCTTAGAGCAGTGCTCGAGCCATCCGACCTCACCCTAGGTGCTCTGCTCAGATCAAAATAATTGAATAAAAGCAATCTATATAGAGAAACAAACCACCAACACCAATCTCCTCTATCTAAATCCCCACCAATGCGTACAATCTGTCCCTAACCCAACAACAAAGTCATCTCCATAAAATACCATTCCAAAGCTTTTCCAAGAGAACCCTTTTGCATCACCAGTTGCCATCTGCACCTTGTTTACAAGCCTTCCCAAGCCCTTGCTAACACAAGAACTAAACACACTCTATGGTTCACGATGTGTTTCGTCTCAAAATAATCTGAATATGTTTCCATCCACAGGTTGGCAAAAACAAACAAAAACCTATTCAAAACAGCAGAAGTTGCTGATCCAACTTAAAGCCCAGAGGTGTATCGCCGTTTCATGCCCTTTGTATGGCAACCCCGTTCTTGAGGGCGGCGTAGAACACAGTAGAAAACAAGCTTTTCCAAATATAGAGAGAAAACAAAGACAAGGTAAAGGGATAGGAAGAGAAAGAGTTAGTAGTAGCTCCTTGAAAGGAGAGAAATCCCAAAAAAAGAAACTCATAATCCCAAACCCTAAAAATTAGTAAAGGAAAGGGAAGGGAGAAGAAGTAAAGGGGAGAAAAGAGTTGATGTTAACCTTGTTTGGATAGATGAAAATAGAAGGGAGGAAGGGAAAAATATTTTTATTTAATTAAATAATTTTCAAAAAATAAAATAAACTAAAATATTTAAAATTTACTAATTAAAACAATAATTGAAATAAAATATTTTTATATATTTATTTTTTAAAAACATTAAAAAATTATTAAATATGTAAATCAAATGTCTCCTAATTCCTTTAATTTGGAAGGATGGAAATCAGAGTGGAGAGTGTTTTATCACCCTCCTCTTTCCCTCTCCATTAATGAAGAAAAACAAACAGAGTGACGGAGACATCTACCTCTCCCTCTCCCCCACTCCCTCTCCAAATTCACCAGTCTAAACAAGGGCTAAGCCTAAAAGAGAGAGGGCGACACATGGGATATATGCCAAAAGTAAATAGATAAATAAAACAAAGAAATCCACCATGCAAATAGTTGAGACAGGAACTTCTGGTAACACAATAGCGAGAGAATAGGGGTTATATCCAGGAGCTATAATGTACTAGCAAGATCAAATGATTGCCTTTTCAACAAATCTTGCAAATTCACCAACAACCCTTGTTCAGCAACATGCTCCAATGCCGGAATAAGGCATTTCTCTATTTGGCTAGGTATGATTCTCGCAACTAATTCATATAGAATTGTTGGTTATTTAAGAAGCCATGATATAAATACCTTTTTCGCTTCAAAAAGCTTCGAAATCAGAATTGAGAACCGCATTTCCAAAGATATCAAATCGCTTCCTTCACTTGGACTCTTTGAGATAGGTCGAGTAATTCGTGTTTATTAACGTACATCTTAGGGGTAGCTGGTGCCTAGAAAGTCTGTTAGTAAACCGAATTCCTTTGTATAAATACGTGCCATTGAATAGGAGTGCTGTAATTTTATCGAGCAAACGATGGAAGTTGAGAAGCATTGCAGGGGTCCATCCCAATGAATGGCCAGTTCCAACTTCCAAGGCAAGTCATCCTTGTTTAGGAAAAGATGGAAAACATAGAGGAAGGAAATAGCCATAAACAGGTATCCAAGGTAATACTACAGTAATCGTGTTTGAGAATGATGGAAAGGCTAAGCTGGCCAATGTAGAAAACTAGGTCTTGAGTGAGATATCATGGAATTCAAATAGAGATGCAAGGATAGAATCAGAATAAAGACTTAACTTATGAAATAGAGCATAAATGAGTTTTATTCCTTATTTCGCTCTTAGTTTTTCTACGTAAAAGTTAAAGTTGGATCAAATATAGTTTTCTGAAAAAGTTTGATGTACATAATAATAATAATTAATAATCATAATTATGACTTTTATCCTCCTAATTAACAATCGTATTTACATAATGATCCCAAATTTCTCTTTGTTTTATATACATGAGTATAATATTATGACACAAAACTAGGGATCAGTTTTGGCATACACGGCTTCTTAAGTCAACAATAGAAAGAATGAAAAATAAAACGAGAATTTTAATGTGAAGGAGGCATGCTTAAGGCACCATTCCAAAGGGATTGCCCTGCTTTGCTGTGTGATGGCATTTCAATGCTTTCATCCAATTCTAAACAAGGCAGCATGCCACTGAAAGAAACATGACTGATTCCGTTGTAAAACACCTCTCCAACTTCATTTTCATTCGTTTTCTGGGATGGATTCTCTGTGTCATTCTCTTGAGTATCCTCATCATTCCTGTCCAAGTTCAAGTTCTTCTTTACCAGCTCTTTAAATATTGAAGACTTTAGGAGGAGACTGAGTGCAGTTGGAGAAGAAGACTTCGGGCAAGGGCTAAACGGAGTCTTTCCTTCAAAAACATCCTGTTTATTGGGGCATTCTAGGTCTTCTATAATGAAAGGGTTGGTGCTGAGGATGGAAAAGTTAATATTTTTGTGCTCAATTGGTTAGATGTTGGAATTGATTGAGACTCTAAATTTGCTTTTGGTTCTTGATATGAAATTCCAGAATTTGTTCCCCTTTTCAGCCATCTGATGTATGCGCTCAAGTCAAAGTGTTACAGCATTGATTCCTCTGTAGTCGATAGCCGCAATATCATAGGCACGAGCAGCCTCCTCTTGAGTAACTGTTTTGAAAATTCAAGTGAGTTACGAAAATCCAGTTCTAAGACTATTATACTCATCATAAGAATAACTCACTGTAAGTGCCAAGATTGAGATACTTGTTTCCAAACACTCTCCCAATTCTTGCCTCCCATCTCCCATTGTGATTGATGGAAGAGTGAATTTTACTTAGATACTCATTAGCTAGTATTTTAATTACATTAAATGTATTGGAGCCATGTGATGTAATTAATTTGTCTTTTTGTATTTTGATAGATAGTGGTCAAAACCACTCAAGTTTGTACAATGTAAGAAGCAAACTCCATATATCAGTCAATGATATCAGATGAAGACGAATGGTCATGTCTTCCAAGTTTTCCCTCAATTTCTCTTCTTTGTTTTTCCTCTTACAACATCTACTTATTGTAGCTTAGATGTTGAGGAATGGTTATTCAATATCATTTATGCATGATTCCTGTCACATTTATGATCATAATGGTGCTGAATTGACTAGAGTTGATATGATTGATAATTGTTTTCCATTGCTTTTGAAGTCTCTTGTACAATCTATGTATGTTTCTAAGGTCGACAACATTGATTTATGGCATAGAAGATATGGACATTTTAATGTCAAGTTCCTAAAATTCATGCAATCTAACGAATTAGTTAGAGACATGTCTAAGATTTATTTGAATGATGATGTTTGTGGGAGCTGTCAATATGGAAAGTTGCATAGACAATCTTTTCCTATGAATTTGTCATGTAGAGCTAAGCATAAACTTGAGCTAGTGCATATAGATGTTTGGGCAGAATACCCAAATCCACCCCCAAAGTAGAGTGACAAGAACGGATTCACCGCCAAATAAAAACGGGGTCAAATCCACCCACAAAGTTTTTAACTTAAACAAATCACCTTAAATTTAACGTGTGACATTATTTAACTTTAGCAATTTGTTAATTTGTTATGTTGCTAATAAGTTCATTGTTAATGGATTGCTGATGTCAGATAGCGTCACGTGTTAAATTTGGGGTGATTCGTCCAAGTTGAAAACTTTGTAGGTGAATTTATCTTTGTTTTTTGTTCAGGGGTGGATCTATTCCTACCACTATATTTTGAGGGTGGATTTGGGTATTTTGCCTAGATGTTTGTGGGCCAATAAAGACACCATCTCTTAGCTAGAATGTTTATTTTGTGCTATTCATTGATGATTTTACTAGAATGACATGGGTTTATTTCTTGACTAACAAATCTTAAGTCGTCTTTGTGTTCAAGATATTTAAAGCCCTTGTTCAAAAACAAAGTGGATGTCAACTCAAGACTCTCAAGTTAGACAATGGCAAGGAGTATACCTCCTCTGAATTTGAGAAGTTTTGTGAAGATGCTAGTATAGCTCATCAATTAACAGTCCCATACACTCCACGACAAAATGGGGTTGTTGAAAGGAAGAAGAGGACTATTATGGAAATGGCAAGATGCATATTATGTGAGAAGAAATTGCTTATGAACTTCTAGGTTGAGGATGTGAATACGATAGTATATTTGCTAAATGGACTCCTTACAAAAGCAATAAAAGGAATGACTCTAATTGAAACTTAGTATGGCCTTAAACCTTTTGCCAATTATTTAAAGGTTTTTGGTTCAATATGTTATTGTCATGTGCCATCTGTTAATAGAACCAAGCTAGATGCAAAAACAAAACTTGGTATATTTGTGGGGTATGCCACAAAATCCGAAGGCTATAGAATTTATAACATGGCAACCGAGAAAGTTACTATGCATAGAGATGTACACTTTGATGAGAATGCATACTAGAATTGGAATAAAAAGAAAGTTGTCAAGGCTACTGTTGCAATTGATGATGCGGAAGCTTCCAAAAAGGCTTATCAAAATTTATTTGATGAATCAGAAGTTGTTGCTATTGATGCTTATTAGGATACTCTTGTACTGAAAACTAAAAAGTTGTCAAAAATTTATGAGAAGCTTTTCTTAATGGTTATTTGCATGAGGATATCTTTGTTGAACAACCAAAAGGCTTTGTAATTTCTAGACAAGAGGAGAAGGTTTACAAGCAAAGATCATGGTATAGAAGAATTGACTCATTTCTAGTGCAGTAAGGTTTTGTTCGAAGTGAGAATGAGCCAACTCTTTATGTGAAAGTCTCCAAAGGTGAGTCTTTTATGCAAATGACTACTAATCATGATGCTAAGTTGCTGATTTCTTTGTATGTTGATGATCTTTTAATTACTGGAAGCAACGTACAATTACTGCAACATTTTAAGTTTGAAATGATGAAGGAATTCGAAATGTTTAATTTGGGACAAATGAGCTACTTTCTTGGCATGGAGATAACTCAAATGGATGCTGGGATTTTTGTCTCAAGGCAAAAGCATGCTCTTGATGTACTGAAGAAATTTAACATAGAGACATGCAAGTTTGTTTATACTCTACTTGTGCAAAATGAAAAACTGATGAATGATGACGGAAGTAACAAAGTTGATGTTTTGGTTTTTAGAAGTCTTGTAGGAAGTCTTTTATTTTTAATTGCAACTAGGCCTGATATTATGTTCTTTGCTACCCTCCTTTCAAGATTTATGCATTCTCCAAGTCAAGTTCATTGTAGTGCAATTAAAAGGGTTCTTAGATGCTTGAAGGGAACTACAAATTATGGCCTTATGTTTAAGAAGATCAATGTTTTTGTTCTTGAAGGTTATGCAAATAGTGATTGGGCTTGATGTTTTGAAGATGCTAAGAGCATTATTGGATTTGTCTTTATTCTTGGTTTTGCAGCTTTTTCATGGATTTCTTGAAAGCAAGATATGGTGGTTCAATCAACAGTTGAGGCCGAATATATTGCAATAGCTGAAGCAGCTAGTCATTTAGTATGGTTTTGCAAAATGCTTATTGATATGGGTTGT